TAACCGGCATCGTTTTTTGGACACCCAAGCGCCCCATAATTGCTCCTTCCCCTGGGTCATTCCAGCTCCCTCTGGGACTTACAATTTCCTTACCTTATCATGCACATGTCCCCGCAGAACTGGGTTCCCCCTCCGTCATTCCCCACCCAAATTACCACTTCCGCCGGTTCACTCCAACTCCCTCGGGGACTTACAATTTCCTTACCACATCATGCACATGCCCCCGCAGAACTACAGATCCCCCTTTTCTATTATAATTACGCTTCCCTCCAGGTCGCTCCAGCTCCCTCTGGGACTTACAATTTCCTTACCACATCAGACGCATGCCCCCGCAAAACTAGAGATTCCCAAATTCATCCTCTTAAACCCCTTGACCCCCTCCCCCAACTACCATGACTGATCCGACCCCAAAATCAGCTCGGCATCCTCTCCAGGGTAATATGCTCCACAAAACAAAACTCCCCAATCCTGGTCAACGCGTCTGAATCTGGACCGTATACCAAGTAAAGTTGAGAAAAGCTACTGTCGTGATAGTCTCCATGTAGTGGTTGTGGTTACCCACCCATCTCCTCCCTCTTCCCTCTTTACCCTCCCCCCCCACCACCTCCAGGTCTCTCCAGCTCCCTTTAGGACTTGCAATTTTCTTACCATATCAAGCACATGCCCCCACAGAACTAAAGATCCCCAAATCAATCCTCTCAACCCCTTGACACCCTCCCCCAACTGCCATGAACGACCATTTCGTCAAAATGGACATTTTTTATTTTTTGAACGAAATTGAAACTAAGTTTTTTGGCCGAAAACTCGTCAAAATTTGTTGTTTCTGAGGGTTCGCCCGAAATGGACATTTTTTATTTGTTGAAAAAAATTGAAACTGAGTTTCTTGGCCGAAAACTCGTTAAAAGATGTCCATTTTGACGAAATGGCAGTTCATGACTGATCCGACTTCAAAATCAGCCCGACCCTGAAAAGGTCAAGTCCACAGCCCGGGAAATCTAAGATATCAATACCACACTTCAAGAATTTAAAACCCTCGATTTTTGGACAGACAGACCTTCTTCAGTTTTTAAAACAACAGCTAAGAAAAGCAATTTCCGAAAGAAATTGAAAACAACGTACCATCAAAAAACGGTCAAGAGTTACAACTTCGATAGAAAAAACTTGACAATCAACTAATTTGATTAACAAACCTCAAAATCAAGTTAGAACGGAGACAAGAATCAAGAAAATTCACTTAGAGGATGAAATTTCGAAATAAATTGAGATCATAGCAAGCTCTGATTTACGAATCTCCAATTAAAAGTTATTCCCAAACAGGAAATTCAGTATGAGAGATTACAAATTGGAAGTCTCAAACTCCAATTCGTTACATATCCATAAACGGATTAAAAGAATAAAAAAGACAATAAAAAAATACGATTGATGACATGACATGAGACTCTCAATTGAAATTCTGATATGCCACATCATTAGGATCCTATTATCAAGAAATAATCAAAAATCAAGAATTATGAATTGAAATCATCAATGAGAAATCAACCTTAGGATTTGAAAAACTTAGTTATCAGACATGATTAGTAGATTCCGAATTATAAGACAGCCAAACCACACATGGTTTCAATAAAACAACCTCCCATCCCTTTTTCCTGAACACAAACCACTTACCTCGTACCCTGCAATCCCTTCCTCCCACTGCTAGCATCTAGGCTAAAAGCAAAGCTAACACCAAAGATATGAACGACCATCTTCAATCCCTCAAGGGAAATCGAAAACAGTGTGGCATCCCCTCGCCAAACCTGTTGATGAGTCGCCACATGGGATTCAAAACCACCCTAACTATACCCTTACCATACTGTTAAGGAAGACGGAAGGGCTTACAAAAAACAAGGACAGCAAGCCCCACCAAACCTAGTCCATAAAAACAGCGACCCCACACCCCCTGCCCATATCCACCAATCTCCTCTCCCCTACCATAGTTACTCCCCGTCACCACCCTACACACCCCTTCTCCTACCGTGCGCCACCATATCCTACCGTTCACCTCGTCGCCTGGCTCGCCCGTACGTACCCTTCTCTCGCCTCACGTCCTGGCGTCTTCGCCCGTCGCGTCGCCTGGCTCTTCGATAACGCATCAACGGGGTGCAGCGCTACCGGCCGCGTCGCCTGGCTCTTCGATAACGCACCAACGGGGCACAGCGCTCCCGGCCGCGCTGTGCCCACCACTTCGCGCCCCCGGCAACTTGCTTTATTATTATCTATATGATCTCGATCGTCGTCCACAATTTTTTATTTTATTTTATTTTTTTCCCACCAGCTACAAGAACAACAACAACAAAAAAAAAACAACCAAACCACACCACACAAGCAAAACCTTAAGTCTGTATCCAGCGGCCTAACTCAGTTGGTAAGGCTCGCAAGTGGCATTCAGGAGGTCGTGGGTTCAATCCCCATTGGCCTCATGTACCTTCCTGGGCATGCTTGGCGCCGGCCACCTAGAGATAGACCACTGGATCCCCCGATTGGCATTTAGCAGAGTCTGCTGATGTTCATAGGGGAGGGGACCTGAGGGGAGGCACAGGGATTGGTCCTGTTGGCATGGTCCCTGATGCTACCGGCTGTCCCCTAGCTGGTATCGCCCACCTGCAGGTCGGGAGCAGCCCCCGCATATTCTCTCGTGAACACGGTTCTGGCTGCTATGGGGTTCCCCGTATGCCTACAATTAGGAGTAGTGGTAGGTAGGTAGTGTGAGGTGAAATTGAGAGAAGAATATAGCTTAAAAAAAAAAAAAAAAAAAAAACTTTAAGTCCAACCACACTTTTGCCAGGCCTGCTGTCTACAATATGGAACACATGCCACCCGGATGGCTGCATTCCCGCGTGGAATGCAGTATAACAGTTCGCAGCCAGGAATGGCTGCATATACGGGGTTGCGTTTTGTCGTTTAGCGGCTGTGTTTCCGTTTGGGGAATGTCGTCGACCTTTTCGGATGCAGCGAGACAGCCACGTTGTCCAGCTGCATTCAGAATGTTGTCGGGTGGAGAGTCGTGCAACGTCGTGCAACTAGGCCTTAAAAACAGGTGTAAGTGGGTATACAGGGCGTCGCGGCAGACCGGTCGTTCTGTGAGGTAACATGGCGGCGGTCGTGGCAGAGGACGCGTGGTCGCTGGAGACCGACCGGTCGTAGCGTAGTGTCCGGTATAGGAAAGTCGGGAAAGGGTTATCTGACCGTGCGTTAAATAGGGAGATCGACGGCCCGGATGTAATCCACACTTCGATTCAGAATGTTGGGGTCGTTCATTGTTGCGAGGCCCCGGACACATGGCCCGAAAGATGGTCGTTTTTTTGTTTTTGTTTTTGTATTGTGTGTATCTTACCTTTGAAGGCGGACAGGTGCGCAGCGCGTTTCAGGCTTTCTTGAATCTTACCTGTGAAGGCCGACAGGTGCGCAGCGCGTTTCAGGCTTTCTTGATTCGGGTCTGCGCTGCCCTGAGGGGCAGCCGGCTGCACCTGGCTGCCATTGTGTGTCTTTCTGCGGGTAGATCCGGCTGCGTGGTGGAACTCCGAGTGGCAGTTCGCAGCCAGGAATGGCTGTGTTGTTGGCTGCGTCCTGTATCCGCCCTCAGTCACAGCATAAGGGTCCTTTTTTTCCTTTTTTTTTTCCCCGTGTGATTGTCCCTACACGCCCTCACTGAGGGCACAGTCACACTAGTACCTGGCAGTTATCCTGGCGTTTGGGATGTTTGTTTTTCACAGGTCGACAACAATAGTGCAGCGAAGCTCTCGCGTGGGCTGGTCACCGTCCGCCGCCGTCCTGGCTGCGCCCCCACGCCCGAGGGTGGTATGAGTGCTCACAATAGCATGGCACCATAGGACCCTTCAAGATTCAAGATGCCCCTGGTAGGAAAATACGCGCACATTCGTTCGGTCAAAATAAGAGACCCTGACAGACGGAATGAACCGACATTGACGAAGGCATCGAGGGTGTGCGCACCGCACCACAGCACCCTTCTCGGACGCCCCTGGTCAGGAAATACGGGCACATCGGTCAAAACGAGCCACCCTGAGACGAGTCAATTGACATTTGACGACGGCATCGGGGGTGTCCATTCACCTAAATGGTGGTTGACAGAAAGAAGGTTGATATCGAGGAATGGTCCAAATTCTGAGTCTGAAAGAAGAAAAGAGGAAAAGAGTAAAGAAAAACGTTAGACTGCGTTGACGGCGCCATTTTTCTTTTCCCATACGACGCCGACGCAGGATGCAACGACACGTCTCCTGCCACTTGGCCGCTTCCCACTAAAGCAAAGAGGATCAGACCAAGCGCCTGAATCGCGGTGTGTTTTATGCAGAAAAACAGATATAAGGGCCAGATCCCACTGGCAAGGATGATTGGAATAAGTGTCTGAATCTGGACGTGTTTCACGCAGAGATGCAGAAAAGCAGATCAAAAAAAGAAAGGAGATCAATCACAGTTTTCTGCACCGAGTCACAACCACGTCCAGATTCAGACACTCATTCCAATCCTTTTTGCCAGTGGGATATGGCCCCAAGTCGCGATTTTCTGCCCCCTCTCTACAAATAACGTCCAGATTCAGGCGTTTCAACCAATCCTTTTCGGTAGGGGAAATCGCCCCGGGGAACGACTCGTGGCGGGAGTCGCCGCGTCGACCCTCAACTCAACGGCGCCCAAAAAATTCGATCGACTCGACAAGGCCGAGGAAGGACGCGAGGCGGCGACGGCAGCTTATATATACATATATAATATGGGTGGGTGCGAAGTGTGTAGATAACGACGATGGCTATCGGTCGTCATCGATGCGCGATGTGATGACGATGACGACGAAGGGGATCCGATATATATAGAGAGTAGATAATAGAGAGTAGACTCAGCAGAGGGTAGGACTGGAGGATGGAGCTCATCTCCGGGAAGGGGAAGAATGCTTAGTGCCAAATGCAGTAGCGAGACCGATGCACAGAGCTACCGTGAGCCAGACGTTGGAGCTGTGCTCACGAGTGGAAGAGGGGACGGAAGGAGGCGTGCAGAACGGTGAAGAACAATCCTGCGTACGTCGTTCGGTGCGACAATGTAACGAGACGGGGTGAAGTCAGCGGTAGTGTGTGATACTGTGCGCGTTTTAACTTCGACTACCGGCTTGCGTTGACCGAGGACCTTGCAGCCTTGACGTCGACGCCCTCTCCGCGGGATTATGCAGAGAGGGTTTATGGACTTCTGGTACTCAGACTGGATCGTCGTTCTCACAGGCTCCGCCGTTGATCCGTGTTGTATGCACTGATTGTCTGAGAGCGACTGACCGTCAAGTCGACTCCGTAGCAACGGTAGATGAACTACCCTGAGGTTTTCGGTACTCCGCCCGAGAAATTTGACACATCAGTGCTCTCTCTGCAGCTCCACTGATATCTAATCGTCAACTAGAACCCACATGGGTAGATAGATAGATAGCGATTTGACGGATAGATCTAAGAGAGAGAGAGAGAGAGAGAGAGAGAGAGAGAGAGAGAGAGAGAACTACCGCTGGTTGCAGCAGTTCGAGAGATAGAGAGTCTCAGAGCGAGAAAGAGAGAACTACCGCCGGTAGCAGCAGTTCGATAGATACAGACACAGACAGAGAGACAGAGGACACACAGAGATAGATAGATAGATAGATAGATAGATAGATAGATAGAGAGAGAGAGAGAGAGAGAGAGTACTGTGCTGTAACTGCTCTTGTGTTTTTTGGTTTTTCTTTTTCTGTGTGCGTGTGTGTGCAGGGATTCAGGATGTGGAGGACTTTGAAGGGAGCTCTCGCCGTCATGGCGGGCGGTGTGTGTTCTTGCTGCTTGCTTCCGTTCCTGGCAATCATTTTTCCACTCGTTAGTTTGGCCGTTCTGGTGGTCGGTTCGATGGCTGTGCCCATTGCCATCCCGGTCTTTGTGTTTCAGTGTCTATACGAGTTGAAGAGAGAGTGGAATGTGAGGCGGCGACAGACGAAGATGCAATCTGTGGCTGGGGCTGTAGATGAGGAGAAGTTTGTCCTACGAGGCAGCGAGGAGGATCTGGAGAACGAGGAGAAGTCCAGTATGTTACCGGGCAAAGACGAGGGGGAGAATCAGGACGAGATATGGAGAGGGAGGGAATCGGTCGCAAAGCTAACGAAGAGTGACGCTTTCATTCGCGCGGAAGGTGTTGATGATGGACTGGTACAACCCCTTCCCGCCAAACTCTCACCACCAAGTATCTTTTCTCCCCCTGAGATAGGAGGGCAAGGGAGGAGCGAGGAGGAGGAGGAGGAGGAGGAGGAGGAGGAGGTCATCCCTCCTTCTCCTTCCCCCTCTGTTCTTCGTTCGCGTACGGAGGAGGAGGAGGAGGAGAAGGAGGTCGTCTCTCCCTCTCCTTCCCCCTCTCCTCTGCGTTCACGTACGGAGGAGGAGGAGGAGGAGGAGGAGGACTCGTGGACGGCTCAGCTTGAGAAACCTTTAAGGCGGGATGTTGGCACAGAACGCGATTTGACGGCGATTAAGCGCTTGATCGGGGAAAGGGCGATTGACAAGGCACTGAGGAGTAAGTCTGCTAAATTCAGTCTTTTAGAAGAGGTCTATGTCATTGGCGCCATCGTGGGAATCGATCTCGCGCCAATTTCTTGGGTCAACGTATCGGAGGAGCAGAAAGCAAAAGCAGGGCTGCGGTTGATCAAGCTAATTCTCGGACTAGAGGAAGGTCGCCGTGGGAAGTTGAAGAAGAATGTTTGAGGTGAACCGCTCGCTGGGAAAGTATGATATGCTTATACCTCCACTTACTCGCATGGATGTGACCCGAATGTTGACCACATTCCGTCGCACAGATTCGGCAGCAGTGGGAGTCTGGCCCTACTGCGCTCACCTTTTTGACTCCCTGAAGTTATCAATTGGCGCCATGGTAAGTCGCCCAAAGATAGATAGATGGGTAGATCTGCTCTGTTTATGAACGCAGGCGGGGGTCTGCTATCAAATTCGTCGACCAGATTCCGTCGCACAGACTCGGCAGTGGGGGTCTGGCCCTACTGCGCTCACCTTGTTGACTCCCTGAAGTTAGCGATTGGCGCCATGGTAAGTAGCACAAAGGTAGATAGATGCTCTGTTTACGAACGCAGGCGGGCGCTTCGTTCCGTTTGTTTTTTTTTTTTTTTTTTACACCTTCATAGAATGTCGACCGAGCAGGGAAGTCGCCGACCGAAGCATGGTAGGTTTGGCGCGCTTTGGGGTCATAGATGCAGAAGAACTACGAGGCCAGAGAGGTCTGACAGTGGCTGCCTCGTCTGAGGTTCTCCGCCTCGCCGAGTCGAACAGGATAATTTACCGATATTACCAGCGATGGCACGACTTTGACCGAATCTTGCTGTAATTTACGGTCAGATGGCGTGTGCATTTGGGGGCGGTGCTTTTCTGTGGGAATCGTCACCTGGGATTGTCTTTTATGTTTTGTTGGACATCCTTCAGCGCAGACGGCGGCAGTCGCAATAGATTGATTCTTTTTTTTGCAGGCGAGGTGCTTTGATATCCTGGTTGGTCTTGTCCCGTCGTTTGGCCTGTGATGTGGGGGCGGTGCTTACATGTGGGACTTGTCATCTAGGATTAGGATTTGTTTCCCCTGTTTTTTTGTGTTCGGCTGTTTTCTCTTGTCTTTGCCTCTTTGCCCTTTGGCTGTGTGCAAGTGGGTCGATATGATTCACGGGGGTGAGGGCAGCCGCCGCTTAACCTACATCCACGTGGGCGGCCTTGTACGCAAGAGGTTCTGAACAGAGGGAGTTGTAAGGGAGAAGATGAAAAAACGAATTCATTTTTCCCTTGTTTTCTCTGTTTTTTTCGCTTTTGCCCTCTGTTATTCTTGTGACAATATATACAGCCCCTCGTTTGTTGTCCTCTCCTCCCTGTGCCTACGGTTTACCGATTCAGCCTCCTGACGAGTGGGTGAAACTCTGACGAAACAGTTTGTCGCAGCCCCTCGTTTGTTGTCGTCTTCTCCCTCCCTCCCTCTGCTTACTGTTTACCGGGCAGCGCTGTTATATTGTCACAGCCCCTCGTTTGTTGTCCTCTTCTCTCTCTCTGCCTACGGTTTACCGGGCAGTTCTGTTTGTGACGATATATTGTTACACTGTGAATATTGACGATATACAATACATATATATCGTCAATACAGAGTATATTTGTATACACACACACACACACACACACACACAAGAGTGTTGTTCGCTTATTAACTCGTAATAAGCAGGACTGTGGCGAGCAGACTGTTTTCGTCGGACACACACACACACACGCACACACATATATATAGATAGATAGATATATAGATAGATGGATAGATAGATATGTTTTACGGAGAAGATCCTGCTCAGAACAGACAGGCGGCATCAATAATGCGAAGGAAGGAATATACTTCGTGAAGATGAAGATATGATCACGATGGCGATAGTGCCGTGCACGAATGTGACTGCAATCACGTGCAGAGCTTCGAAAAGAAAATCTCTTAGTGCGAGTATCCCTTCAGATCCGTTGGAGAGTGTTGTCAATGATACTGCGGCCTATAGGTTTGTCCTCTGAGAAGGGTGAGTATGCTCTCAGGTAATGGTTTTTCTCTTTTTTCTTTTTACTTCGGTCGGGGAGGGCACTTGAAGGACAGGTAACGGTTTCTAAAAAGATGGTGATGTAATTGGCGAGAGAATGAAAGCTGCCTCCTGTATAGACTTAGGAGTAGTGGTAGGTGGATTATAGTGAAAGGTGAAATTGAGAGAAGAATATTATAGCTTAGTTAAGGGGGGGGAGAAAAACAGTGTTGCTGCTCGGTCCGCCAGTGGGTGAAAGGTTACTTTGGTTGAACTACTCGACTACCCTCTTCCCCAGAGTAGAACTTCTGTCGAGATAGAGCGATACAATGGCCGAAATCGCAGCTGTATTTCAGCGATAATGACCGTCGCACGTTTGTTTTGTGGAAGACGGTAGACCCGACTAATCTGAGTAGCTTTAGTGCTGTGACTAGTGTTTTTGTTTTGTTTTGTTTTTTTAAGTAGCTTTAGTGTTGTAAATAGTGTTTTTTTTTTTTTTTTTGGATAATGGCGACAGGTTAATTTCAGTTGTTGCCACTCTAGGCTGGCGAAGCAGCTAAGTGGGCCTCGCTCGCTAGACTACTGAGCACTCACCGAATGTGTAAAATGAAAATGAATCATCAGCTGGAAGTTCCTGGAACATGGAAAGATGCAATGCCGTATTTTCTGTCTTTTGTGCATGTGGTGAGTTGGGGCATCGCCACACCAGTCTCGAAATGTGCAAAATGAATATGAACTTGTCGCTAGAACATGGCCAGATGCACCCGCCACATTTTTGTCTTTTTCACATTTCGAGAGTGGTGTGGCCAGGCCCTTAGTGGAGCGCGGAAGGAACGAGTCACATTGCGGCAAGTGAAAATATTCTAAATAACCGTTATGGCCACTGGGCGCCCTGGGAAGCGTTTTGTTTGTTCAACATGATCTCGCGATTGGTTGGATATCCTTCTTTTTCTTTTTTTTTTCCTGCCAAAAAATTAAAGCAAAAAGAAAAAGGATATAATTGTCTTGTCTGCTATTCGCTCAGTTTTGTAGGTGCCAGCCTGCCAGGTGGTTATTTCGCAATTGTGATTTGTTTGTGACTTTCCTTGAACGAGTTTTGAGTTGTGTAGGTGGGCATTTCAGAATTTCGATTTGTTTCTGACATTCAGAATTATGATTTGTTTGTGACCATCGAGTTTTCAGTCGTATGGGTGATCATTTCATAAGTCGTATGGGTCTTGCTGCTCTTGCATGAATTTGGCTAGAAGCCTACAAGAATTATGTTCAAATATATATTAAGCGGACGATCTGATGAGTTTTTTTTTTTTTTTGAAACTATACTCTTCTCAAATATATAAGCGGATGATCTGACGAGTTTTCAATTCTGTAGGTGATCATTTCATAATTTTGACTTGTTTGTGAATTGTTGCATGAATTTGGCTAAAACTATGTTCAAATATAAAAGCGGATGATCTGATGCAGCAGTGCTGCGGTATGCAGAGGGATATCATATCCCAACAAGAAATGTTCATCCTTGAGCGTGTACTTGAAGTCAGAGAGGAGGCAGAGTCTGGTGTGACTATACGTGTCGAAAGTCTGCCCCTGGTCTTTATAATGGCTTGGCGTAGCTGCGGTCTGCAGACTCTGAGGGAAATCGAATCCGCAACAAGGAACGCATTGTTCATTCATTCTTGAACGTGTTCTTAGACCCAGAGTGCACTCGGCGTGGTCAGTGTGGTATGATACAAGTGTGTCAAATGAATGCTCCTGGTCTTTATAATGGCTTGGTTCACACTTTCTAGGAGTGAATGTGGCACGGCGTCAGAGGGAAACCGAACCTCAACGGAAGTACGCTGTACATCCTGAAACGCCTTCTTGGAGTTCCAAGTCAGGGTTAACTCATTCTGGTGCGGTGTGCATGCTCTGAAAGCATGATTCTGGTCATGATAATGGTGAGGTGCATGCTTAGTACGGGATCAAGTGTTGCAACTTGCAAGGCCTCTAAAGCAACCCCCCCCCCCCCCCCTCCCCCCCGCTCATCTTCCACCCCCCCCTCAACCCACCCTGTTCTTGTCCTCAATAGGCGAATGGATACGGAACAGAATTGAGTATTCAACATATTGAGGCAGCTATCAAAACTTGGAGTTGTCAAAAATCAAGAATTTCGGTAAGGTTATAGGGAGGAATGTTCTGTCAAGCTGTGGACGTGATTGCAGTCAGATTCATCCAGCTTTGGCCGTAATTGAAGTCTCACACGTTTATGAAAGTGCCAGTGGCCCAGTGTGAGTAGGGCCTAAGAGGGACTTGGCCGTGGCCCCCTGGCCCCCTGGTACATTGTAGAGCATGTCACTGGAGTGGAGAAGGGATACGAAGTGGATGGGAGATGGGGTGCATGTGGCCCTGTCATGTTCGTGCAGCTCTTTTTTTTTTTTTTTTTTCCGAACAATTTAACGTCTCAAGCCCGGAACTTCTTTTTTCCAACCAATCTACATTATACGTGTTCGTGCAACCAATTAAGGGATGAGGCATGGAGTCTTTTTATTCGTGTTTATTTGGGAGCATGAACGTCTTATCATTTGGTACAGAAGATTCCTTAGACTAGAAACATGTATGCAATTTCCACGTGGCTAAGGTGGGGACTGGGTCAGGCTGAGGAAGTAGGAGCTCCAGAAGTGGGAAGGCTTGGCTGACCAATGCAGCCCCGAGGGAAAGACACTGAAAAAGACTGTGTTCCCGGCTAGGAACTGATATGGCCATAGTCCTAACAAACACTGTGCTGAACGACCATTTTGTCAATATGGACATCTTTTATTTTTTTAACGAAATTGAAACCGAGTTTTTTGGCTGAAAACTTGTCAAAATTTGCTGTTCCTGAGGGTGGACCCCCTGGCTGTACATGGACCTAGCTTGAGACCAGGCACCTCCAGGCAGGACTGTCTGGACCCTCGGGAACAGCAAATTGACAAGTTTTCGGCCAAAAAACTCGGTTTCAGTTTCCTTCCAAAAATAAAAGATGTCCATTTTGACGAAATGGCAGTCAAGGGATGCTGGACCCCGTTTCCAGCAGGTGACCCTCCCCATCCATAGATGGAGCAGCCCGACAGGCAAAGCCTCACCTCCAGTGGTTCTCTTACCACCACTGGTTTAGAGGCATTGCACAAGGGCTTCTCATTAGAAAAGAGAAAAAGAAGGAGAAAAAAGATATGGCTATGTATAAGGCTGTTATTAGGGTGGATGGCCATTGTCACAGTGGTTAGAGCACTGGTTTGAAATGCGCGCATTGTGGTATGAGGTTGCGGATTCAAAACTCTGTTGCCTCATAGAACAAAAGTTATTACTTTCAAAAGAAAAAATACTGATAGCTGTTTCTGGAGGACGACATATCTATATTTTTTATTGAACTTGTTATTACGACTTCCCATTCATCGGGACTGGGAAATAGGTATAGTCAATTGTGACCATACGTGGAAGTTAAACAGTGTAACCACTTTTCTCAAACAGCATCTTTGTATGTATCCCAGTTAGCATGTCAGATTAATTTAAATTATTATCAATCTAAACCATTCACACACTCCCCCTTGGGCTGATGCAAGGTGATTATTACAGACACTGCCTGCGCACCGCCCAAGGGATTTAGTCCATGGCTGTAGTATGCTGGTAGCAGGGCCTTGGGGGAGGCCTGTTAGTGTGGTTAGCCTTGGGGTGGTCCGACGAGGATGTGTGTGTGTGTGTGTGTGGGTTTGGGTTGTGTAGTGTGTGGTTGAATGATCTGTGGGTCTTGTCTCGTGTACTCACCATCGGCAGGGTAGAGGAGGTAGGTTGGGTAGAGGTCTGAGGTTGATTAGGTTAGGTACTAGGAATTGTGTAGAGATTGTGGGCCTGTCTGTCCACCACCTCGGTCACATGCACTGCACTGTGGGTTTGTCATGGGCGTGTTGGGGTACTGTGGTAGTTTCCTGGCCTCATGGTTCACCTGCTTTGTGCGTACTTACACTGTACTAGGTGTGTCATGGGTGTGTCGGGTTACTGTGGTAGTTTCCCGGCCTCATGGTACACCTGCTTTGTGCGTACTTACATTGTACAATCCTGTGATACGCAACCTCACGCCCCCTAGCAGCTTCCCGTACTGGGTCGCCGATCAGAGTTCTAGGAGGGGTGTGGCCGAGGATTTTTGGCCGTAGGGGTCGAGTCTCCCGGACGGAACGGGAGACTCTCGTTTCGTGCCAGAGGTTACCCCGGAGTCGAACTGTCGTCGTGAAGTCCCGTGGGGGTCGGATCACTTCAGAGCGATAAAATCAGAAGGGTTTCCACAAAAACGAACTATGGAAAGGGCATCAAGGGGAGAGGGCCATGGCGGCGGAAGACAGAAAACTCCATTGTCATGGGTTTGAGGGATAGGTAGTGGGTTCGAAGCCTTCAGGCCTCGTCATCGGCCTCGTGAAGTGACCGGACCTTTGGGTTTTTGCTGTAGAAGTGGTTGGTTAGAGGCCTTCAAGCCTCGGCGTCGGACTTGCAAAGTCCACGCGGAAGTTTTCGAGATGGTGAAGCGGCGGGAGGAATCACCGGCACCCGAATTCGAAATTGCGTGGGCAGCGCCCCCGCATTACGGGAGAGCTCGGGGAAACGTGTCGCTCCCTCGTAACCCAGGACCAAGCGTTGCCAAGAACACGAGTCCCCCTGGCGACACCAGTGACAATCAAACCGCGGCCGCCACGCGGCGTGAGCGGCCGACCAGGGCAACATACTTAATCCCGTATAGGGCAATGTTGGAGTCGGGGAATCAAAACCATCAATCAAGACAAACCCGTTCCCCCTTATATCACAAGCCCGAGGCGGGTCTTGCCAACACACTTGCTCCGTCCACCTCAGCGCGCGCCGTACGTCCGCATCGCAATAGACGCTGTCGTCATCTGTGATGGGGAAGGTCGGTAGCGGGATGAGACGACCAGAGGTACGCGATGAACGTGGGCAAGATCCCGCGCTCTCGGTCATCCGAACCAACAACAACTCTATACAACACTCAACGCAACTCCTCTCTCAAAAGTGGGTGCGTCGGGGGAAGATGACGAAATCTAAGCTCTCTCCCCTTGCGGGGGCGTCGACCGTCTGCGCGGACGCAGGCGGTTGACGTCACCGGCACAGGGACGAGAAGTTCAAA